TTCATTAAAGACTTCAGTTTCTTTTAAAATAAGGCATTTCTATTATTTACGGTAATTTTTCAGCGAGGTCAGCGGCGCCTACTTCAACTAGTATAGGGCACCAGTTAAGCCCCAAAACGCAAAACGAAACTTCTAAGAGATTAAAATACAACAAGATTCTCTTTTAATCTACTGTTTTGATAATATCGTAGAGATCTTGTTCCTTCCATAACAAAGAGCGTCCTTCCAGAATGAGTATCAAACTGAGCTGGAAGTTATTTAGATTGAAAATTGAAATACGGAATATTTCAAAGGGCAAAAGGCTCATAGCCAGCGGGGGATTTGAGTATCGTGGCTACTATAACAAACTGTGTGTCCCTTTGAGCTCTTTTAGACGTATATTGGGATTGATCAAATTCGCTCGCGCTGGAAAAATTTTGAAGCCCGGCTTGGGGTTTCTTTAAATCCCACTGGCTGGATCCAACCAAAGTTTCCCAGAGCCAAGACTCCGTACCTCTGCCTTGTCCTTTAAAATCGATAACTCAACAACTCTGGGCTCGAAATCTTTCTCCCTTTGCGAGCCGCCAAAAGTTGATTGTCAAGAATGAAGTTACTTCTGGGATGACTGCCGGCAAACCGCATACGATGGCAAATCGAGGGAATCTGGGGTTGAATTAGAAATTGGATAGCTGGTCTACTATATATGAAAGATCTACTGTAGGGCTGCCTTGTCTGTCTCGTCTTCTGTCTGTCTTTCAGTCTGTCTTCTCTCTGTCTGCCTGGTCTTCTGTCTTCGACTGCGAAAAATCTCACCAGCAATCGATCAAAAAAAAAAAAAAAAAAAAAAAAAAGGGGAAAAAGGATGCTCTTTGTGGAAATTGAGCTAAAAATTCGGAAAGCAGTTAGCTTTCTGGTATGTCTAAATACAATAATCTAGATCTATTTTCTTTTACTTCAATTGTAGCAGCGAGGCAGCTGGATAGGATCCTCTCTGATCTCCTCAATCTCTAATGGGATCGCATTCGAGTAGAGCGTGAGCCAAGCACTTGGTGGAGCGCCAAATTCCATAAATTTGTATTTTCAATCTCAAAAGATCTACTGAATATCTGTATGGGTGAAAAGGAACAGAAAAATTTCCCTCAACCAGCCCAAAATTAACGGTGACCTTCCCAGCGGGAAACTCCAACTCATCACGTTTCTACCCGCTCTTTCCAATCGGATTTTCCTCTGAAAATGGGAAAAGTTGATATTTTCAGGTATATAGTATACTCTTTACATATTGAATTAGTTTCTTTTTTTCTTCTACTCTAATTTTAGCTGTGAAAACGTGGAAACTCTCAGATAAAATTGTTCGTTAGCAACTTATTATGAGACGGAATTTGAATTTGGCTTTTGTTAAGATTGTGCATATTTGTTCGGATCTTCGGATTCAAAACTAAATTTAATTTTGTCGGGGGGAAAGAGTGCTCTTTCTGAAATATTTGCATTGTTTGGAGATAGAGCTTGTGGAGATTCCACTGATGGCCCAACACAAGCACGGCCACATCGCTACCCTCACCCTGAGGAAAAAGATAGATAGCACCTTGAAGTTTCAAGCCTAAACTTTAAAATTTTCAAACAAATATCGTAACCTTACTCCCAAGTACTTATTAATATGTTAATTGTTTTAGAATTCGACCGTAAGCTGATTATTTCCAAGAAGCTGGGAGTTCAAAATGCTTCGCCCAATGAGGTCAAAAAAAAGTACAAAGGCTCTACAAAATTTTTTAGATTTCATTTTAAAATGATAACATTACTTCTAACTAATTTCTAAAATTTCCCTTTAATACCTGCAAAAATAGCTTCTCGTGAAAATATGTTCTCGTGTATCAAGTTTCATGGGATTTCTCATGAAAGAACTACACTCTGGCTCTGCATTTTGGGCTTGGTTTTCCTGAAAATTCCATTCAAATAGAGAATCAGCCACCTTAAAATCAAATAGTTTTTAAATTTTAAATTCTCATAGAGGTTTGTTCAATAGGGCTTGGTAAGAATTCAGCAAAATACTCTCGAATTCAAAATCTTAGCAAAAAGTGGCATCAAGTCAACAAGAATAGATCTGTTTGCCTAGCTATATTTCGGATTGAACCAAATCAAATCGGGGGGGGGTTTTTAAACTTTATTTGTATGAATTAAACCTTTCCCCGTCTTTTTCCTCTTCGGAAGATAGTATGGTTTATCCACGATCTCTTCATCGTCCTCGGGGACTGCTCTGTATTCGCGGAGGGAATTCGTTGCTCATAATGAAGAATCAAGATTTATATATTAGATAACCAGCAAATAGGAGTGAATATGCAAAATTCGATCAATTTCCGTGGCAGCCTTGGTGGAAGGGAAAGCGGGTGGGTGAGGGGGTTGTGGTCATGGGGTTGACGAGTGAAAGGTAAAAAGGCAAAGCGAAGTGAGGCGGATGAGAAGGGAAGTCTCTTTCTTGTTCTATTCTACTCACTGGAAGTGCTAACCCCAGGGTATTTGCTATAGCAATCTTTATAAATAGTACCATAAATTTAAATGAAAGACAGGTGAATGTAAGGCAAACAATGCTGACACCGTAATTTTGACCTTAGGTTTTATCCATTCTATATACTCACCAGCCAGAAAAACCCGCCTAACGGCGGATTTTTCTGGCTTTGTGCAGACGAATTTTATTTTCTTCACCCCTAGAGGAATCAAAACCGTGACCTTCCTCACTCAAAAAGTGTAAAAACAAAGAAAGAAAAAAGTTTGCACGGGCAGGAATCGAACCCGAGACTAACGTTGCTCAACTTGACAGATCGGACGCCGGGACGCACTAGCACTCGGCCACGCGATAGCGTGTATTCTTTCATTTCGATTTTTAGAAAAAACGGTCAAATTATGTGTCAGATATTATTTGATTTTTGGTAACGTTTGTAATGTCAAACTAAAAGTTAGGTAAGAAGGTTTGTAATGTCAAATTTTCAGATCGATTGGTTCAGCCCTTTTTTTTTAAAACAGCGGAACAGACAGACAGAGCCAAAAAGTAGATAAAATGGATAAAACTAAAAGCAAGTTTATGGTAGTTTGCTGAAAGTGGACACGCTTTAGTAAATGGGTTAAAAGGGAGGGACACGCTTCGAGTGTTGCACACTTGCACACACTAATGTTGCACACTTTGAAAAGTGTCTGAAGAGCACATTTTGTAATACTGCTGTTTCTGAATGTACAAACAACATGGTACTGTTCTTGATGTACACTTCAGAGATGCCAATTGCACCAAAAATTGAAAATCTAGTTTCCCGAGGTTAATCGATGCACATGCCCCAGCTGACTGGCAAATACAGGACAAGGGAAAAAGACGAGAAAGAGCTCTTTCTCCTATTCAAAAACCCCAAAAAGAAAGCACTAGCCGGCCGAAATTTGGCGCGTATTTTGGATTTTCAAAAAAGACGTCGCACTTGATGATTTCACAAGAGAAAAAGCTTTTATGCTCTAACACCGCCAAAATAGCACCGCTCTGATTACCGTACTTTTGGCGACTGTCTAGAAAACTTCGGCCACGCTTGGTAATATTTTTAGAGCTTGTTCTTGCTACACTAAGCTTATACTAGGCTATGGCTCAGAGTACTGGCTGAGCATAGGCTTGATGCTGCCTCGGGTGTTGTTAACAGCCTAGACGTGCTACGTACCTCCTTTGTCGCTCCCGCGTTGTTTGCGTGTTATTTATCTAGGCTAAAGCTCCGCACATATAACGTACTGACCGAGCACAGTCTAGTATGCTTAATCACGTCCGAGTATTGGCTGGGCATAGGTTAAGACTGGCTGCCTGTTACTTGCCTTAAGCTAGATCTGCCTCGACCACAAACAAATAATTCACAAACAAGTTCTAAAAATTTTACCAATCGATTCAGCGTGGCCGAAACCCCTAGAAAAGGCACTTGCCAGAGGCATTTTTGAGGCCCCTCCTAACCTGTATAGCCCCGTAAAAGTTGATATTTGTTGCGCTGTCTAGATGTTTTGCATAACTTTTGATTCATTTACCCATCCATCCATACTCACTCTTCCCCTTTTCGTATTTCTAATTTCAAGTTGCATTCTTGTTTTCAAACTAAAGTATACTTTTTCTTTTAGATTCGCCCGATGGATACGAACAAACTGGCAATGCTTCGTGTCAAGGAGAGGACTATGGTCGACGACCCTTCCTACCAAGCTGATTGGGCGTCGAAGCGCTTCGTCTGGGTGCCGCACGAAACCGAGGGATTTCTGCTCGCTCAAGTCAAAGAGGAACTGGCCAATGGTACGGAGTTTTGTGATTTCACGACTTTTCTTGCAAAGACTATCCAAGAATGGCTGTTTTTAACTCGTCTGTAAGGAATCCCGGAAGTTTCAAATTCGACCATGCTTTGTATTTCAGGCCCAACCCATAAAAGGACTGGCATGTCTAACTCCTCAATTGCTCTAAATTTTTTCGATGTCTAAAGTGTGAGCAGTCTTTTTGGTTTTAGCAGATGAGCATTTTAAATTTGATTGCACTGATTGGTTCAAGTTATTTGGACCACAATTGTCCTGCTAGCTTTCAAGAAAATGGAGAATCAGATGACTTGGATAGATTTCTTGCTATGTACCTAGTAGACCTTTGACGGGATACCCTTAAGCTAGCACACACAGCCCCAGGGGATCTGGAAATTGAAAAACAGTCATATAATGTTAAGTTTAATCCTCTCGGTCTTTCTCAGTAAACTAATTTCATTCTTTAGGACTTCTTCGTCTGATCATCGCGGAGACTGGTGAAGAGAAGACGGCGTTCAACGACGATGTCCAGCGAACAAATCCTCCGAAGTTCGAGAAGACTGAGGATATGGCCAATTTGACAATGCTCAACGAGGCTGGGATTCTACACAACCTCAAGTCGCGCTACTTTTCGGATTTGATCTACGTGCGTTTACACTTTTTCTAGCTTATTATACTGCTTTGTTTAGACCTACTCGGGGATGTTCTGCGTTGTCGTGAATCCATACAAGAAGATGCCAATTTACATGGAGGAAATCGCTGATGGATTTCGTGGAAAGGTGCGTATCTTACTACAAGTCTCTTTTAATTTTGTGATTTAGAATCGTACTGATGTGCCTCCGCATATTTTTGCGGTCACCGATGCTGCTTACCGGAACATGCTACAAAATCGTGAAGATCAAAGCATCCTTTGCACGTAAGTTGCGAAACTCTAGCCTTTATAATGTTTTTTGTTTAGCGGAGAATCTGGAGCCGGCAAGACGGAGAACACGAAGAAAGTGATTCAATATTTGACGTTGGTGGCTGGTCAAATCCGACAAGAGCGTGGCCTAAGGGGAAGCGTCACCTCGTTGAACACCAGCAATGCGAATCGCTATATGGTGTTTACAGTTTGGCAAACCCTTTAATATTTGAATTTAGGGGAACCTCGAGGAGCAACTGCTACATGCTAACCCGATTCTTGAGGCTTTTGGCAACAGCAAGACGATCAAAAACGACAACAGTTCTCGCTTTGTTTGTGACTAATGCCGTTTCTAACTTACAGTTTAATTTAGGGAAAGTTCATCAAGATTCATTTTGATGCCCGCGGACTAATTGCCGGAGCAAGCATCGAATTCTATCTTCTGGAAAAATCTCGCGTCATCCATCAAGCTCCGAAAGAACGAGCATTCCACATCTTCTACCAACTTCTCAAGGGAGCCGACTCCAAGTTAGCTGGTAATAGTGAATTCATTAAAACGCTTTAACATTAATTTTAAGATGAGTTGCTTCTGGAGGCTACACCCAATGCGTATCGCTTCCTTTCAAATGGTGACACTTCAATTCCAAATGTGAACGATCGAGAAGAATTCCGCAATTTGGTGGCTGCTCTCAATGTGTGTTCCTTTGATTATCTTCATTATATAAAACATTCGTTGTTGCATTTGTTTGTATTATATTGTAAGTTTAGGTGATGGGCCTCAGTGACGAAGAAGTCAAAGCCATCTTCCGCGTTGTCTCAGCTGTCTTGCTTTTTGGAAATCTGAAGTTCGCTCAAGACAAGACGTCCGATCAAGCTTACCTCGTCGATGACAAAGTCGCCCAGAAGATTTGCAAGCTGCTTGGTCTGCCCATTGGAGACTTTATGCGTGCCTTTGTCAAGCCAAAGCTACAGGTATTGCTATTACTACTGTCAGCCTAGATTTACTTAGGTTGGTGGCCGCGAATCTTTCGTCCGCTCGCAAACTGCAGAACAAGCCGAATTCACCGCTGAAGCCATTGCAAAAGCATGTTATGAGCGTCTGTTCCGATGGTTTGCGTTGGTGTTATGATTCTATAAACGTTTATTTATAGGCTAGTTCAACGAATCAATCGCTCATTGGACCGTACTCGTCAGAATACAACATCTTTCATTGGAATACTTGACATTGCTGGGTAAATCTTCTCAATTTAACTTTGACTGTTTGTTTTAGCTTCGAAATCTTTGAGAAGAATGGCTTTGAACAGCTCTGCATCAACTACTGCAACGAGAAGCTTCAGCAGCTCTTCAACCACCATATGTTCATCCAAGAGCAAGAGGAGTACAAGCGCGAAGGAGTGAAGTGGAATTTTGTCGACTTCGGACACGATCTGCAGCCCACAATTGATTTGATTGACAAGGTTTTATTTCTTTTCATTCTTTGTAATTGGTTGAATTCAGAATATGGGGGTAATGGCTTTGCTCGATGATACCTGTCTGTTCCCAAAGGCGGATGACAAGAATTTTGTCGAAAAGTTGATCGGACAACACAAAGACCACGCAAAGTTTATTCCACCAGAGGCTCGATCAAAGTTCGTTTTTAGCCTTTGAATTTTAAAATTTAACATATTTAGAGGCGCCTTTGCTCTGATGCATTACGCTGGTCGTGTCGATTATTCGGCTGATGGATGGCGAATGAAGAACATGGATCCGTTGAACGACAATGTCGTAGACCTTTTGCAGCACAGTTCGGATCAAATCGTCGCCGAAATGTGGAAACATGGTAGCGATTATTTATCACTTATTTTCTAATTGCACGCAGTAGGTTTTCGTTTTAGCTGAGTTTGCGTCGATCGCCTCTACTGAAAGCTGCGAGTCAATATTCGGAGCACGTGCCAAGAAAGGGATGTTTCGCACGCAATGCCAACTTTACAAGGAGCAACTTTCTCGACTGATGAGCACTCTGGAGAATACCAATCCGCACTTTGTGCGCTGCATCATCCCCAACTATGAAAAGAAGGTTTGGTGCTTGTTGTGTATTCAAGTATTTTCAAATTTAGCCAGGAAAGATCACTGCCCCTCTTGTGTTGGAACAACTGCGTTGTAATGGAGTCGTTGAGGGAATTCGAATCGCTCGCCAGGGATATCCAAATCGATTACTTTTCCAAGAATTCCGCCAGCGCTATGAACGAATTTTGTGCCCCGATGTCATTCCAAAGGGCTTCATGGATGGAAAAGAGGCGTGCAGGTATAATTTTTGTTTACCAACGATTAATAATTTCTTTTTAGGTTAATGCTTGAACATCTTGCCGTCGATACGGCCATCATTGGCAAAACAAAAGTCTTTTTTAAAGCGGGACAATTGGCGATCCTTGAACAAATGCGCGATGAAAAGATCACAAACCTGATCGTCGCTTTTCAGGTTTGAGCTTGTTTTATTTTAAAAAATCCTTTTTATTTCAGGCACATTGCCGCGGCAACTTGGCTAGACGGGAGTTTAAGCGTCGCACGGAACAAGCAAATGCGATTCGAATCATTCAGAGGAACGGACTTGCATGGATGAAACTTCGAGGATGGCACTGGTGGCGCTTGTTGATGAAAGTTTGCTAATGGTTAGATTATGTTGTTTTAATATGAATTTAGATGAAGCCTCTTCTGGAAATCACAAAGACGGACGAGGTTATTGCCGAGAAAGATGACGCCATCAAAAACATGTCCGAGAAGTTGCGTCGCAGTGAGGTCTACATTGATGATTGTGGAAAGCGAATTGAAGTTGTAAGTTTTGATAACCTAGTGGCTTTAATATTTAAATGTGTTTCTTTAGTTGAACGAAGATCGTGCCCGCTTGCAACAACGCTTGGAACTTGAAACAGCAGAACGAACGGATGCCGATGAAGAACGTCAACGACTCAATGCAAAGAAAACAGAACTTGAAGAGGAACTAATGCACATCTCTGAGCAAATGAAGCAGGAAATGGCCAAGGCATCCAGATTCGAGTCCGAAAAGAAGAAGCTGCAGGTATGCGTGTTAACTTTGAATAAACTATTTCTTGATTTTAGACTGACATCAGAGACTTGGAGGTGCAACTGTCGGCTGAAGAGAACACTCGTCACAAACTCATCCAGGAACGCACGTCGTTTGAGAAGAAGCTTAGGGACTTGGAGCTGACGCAAGCTGAGATGCAGGAATCAAATGCAAGGGTTTGTTTTGCTTTTGTCATTGATTGTGTAATCTTTACTTTTAGTTGACAAAGGAAAAGCGCTCGTTGGAAGCACGTGTGCAACAACTTCAAGAAAAGCTAATCGACGAAGAAGAGCGCCACAAGAACATCCAGAAAGTGAACGGCAAAACCGAAACGGATTTGGCTGCACTGCAAGAAAATGCTAGGCGTGAAACGGTTTTTACTAATTTTATTTCTTGGCATAAAGGACTTTAGGGTACTCTTCTGAAGAAAATCAGCGCCTTAGAGATGGAACTGGCTGACGCAAAGGAGTTAATTGAAGAGGAAAAGCGGTATGTAATGTTTATAAGATCTTCAATGACATGTTTTAGCAACCGCAATCTCATCGCTTCAAAGTTGCGCACCAAAGATGAGGAGTACCGTGCAATGGAGGAGCAACACGATGATTTGCAGCGAGATCGTGATCGGTTAAACAAAGTAATGGAACTTTTGTTTGTCTATTGTGTCTATTATAAATTTTAGGAAAATTTCGCCCTGAAGCAAAAAGAAGCCGAATTGCAAAAGAAAATCGATCTGGACGCCGAGGAGAAGTTTGAAGATCTTCGCAAGAAATTGAGCCGAGACCTCGAAGACGCATTGGATCGCTTGAAGAAAGAAGAGCTGGCTCGAGAAAAAGCAGAACGATCCAAAAAGAAACTCATCCAAGAGGTTTGGTAAAATAACATGCGTTTTATCTGCATAATTTAGAACGAAGACTTGATGAATGAGGTGGGATTGAGCAATGCTGCTCTTTCGGAGGTACATATTTTTGCCAATAATATTGTATGTGTTCATTTAGGCCCAGCGCCAACAACGCAAGCACGATCAGCTTCTTGCGGAGGAGAAGGCATTGCGAGACGATGTGAATCGCGATAAAGAAATGACCATGCAACAAGTGAGCAAGTGTTTATTCCAACTTAACTTCTTATGTTTAGTTGCGTGATCTCGAGACAAAGAACCTGCAACTTGTGCAAGATCTCAACCGACTCAAGGAGAAGAACGATGAGCTGGAGAAGGCGAAGAAAGTCCTTCAACTGGAGGTTGATAGTTTGGTGAGTTATTAGGATTTGTTAAAAGAAAATTATTTTTATAGACTAGCAACGAAGATGCCAGTGGAAAAACTGTCTTTGATCTGGAAAAAGCAAAGCGATTTTTGGAGGAGGAAAATATTCGTCTTGGCGAACAAGTAAGAAGTAATTAAAGGTCTTCTTAATATCTTTTGTGTAGATCATCGAGCTCGAGGATGAATGCCAGATACTCGATGATAAAAACTCTCGTTACGAGGTGCAGATGAACGCCATGCGAGCGGAACTCGCTCGTGATCGTGAACAACGGGAACAAGAGGAGGACGACAACCGGCGACAGGCCACTAAACAAGTAAGTATCATTGTCTAGTTGCTTTATTGATAAGCGTTTTTTAGATCCGAGAGCTTGAAGAACAACTTGAAGAAGAAAGACGCCAGAAGAGCGTCGCTCTCGCTGCTAAACGTAAGGCTGAGAACAATGCCCAGTTCTCTAATGAAAGTGTCGAGTCCTTGACCCGCCAGGTGAATTTTGAATTTTGCAACCAACAATGGTATTTTTTTAGATTGAAGAACTGAATAGACAAGTTCGTCAAGCTCGTCGTGCAGAAACTCGGCTGGCTGAGATCAACACCATGCTTGAAGCCGAGAAGCAAAACAGTGAACGCTGCAAGGAGATGGTAATAATAGACTTAATAAAAGTGCACTTGACTTATTTTAGGCTGATCGTTCTGCGCAGCGCCAACGTCAACTGAAGAGGCAAATTGAGGAGCTCGAGGAAGATGTGGATCGGGAGAAAATGAAAAACCGTCAGCTCAATCACGAGATCAACGACCTGCAGGAGGGCAACGATCGTCTTACCACGGAAAACAGTCGCTTGACGGTAAGTTTTTTTAAAGTATTTTTTTGATTTGGTTGTTTTTAGGCACGTATGAATGCAATCGATCGCACAAGTGTTCGTCCTTCGATGGCTCGTGGAACTACGCGCTACGGAAGCAACAGCTCTCTTCGTGGTATGCGCGATTTAATAATTGTATTCAATTCGGTTTCGTTTAGATTCGTTCACTCGTGAGGGGCCGGAAGCATTCGACGATGCGCGTTCATCTTCTGGAATCACCGGAAGTCACGGTGCCCGTCTCTCGGATGCTGGAAGTGATTCTCGTCTCTAAAACCGACAGCGACAGCGTCATTTATATCTGTGCATAATTTATTTTGTACCTGTTTTATGCTTGCTTGTGTGTTTGTTAATTTATTGCGCAAACTTTTTGTAAGAAGCTCTTGTTTTATTTCCGGAAATTCTTCATATAGTTGCGTTTAAATCCTTTTTAAAATAAATTTTATTTGTACATTGAACCGAAGAAACACCAATCACAAGGACAAACACAAGCAACCAACTTGGAACAAACAATTGGAATTGCTTTTCGACAACCAACAATAAAATATTTGGAAGGCATTGTCGGACATCACGAAATATTTTGTGGATAAACGGGAAGTCGGGATTTTACTGGTATTACTTGTATAGTCTTGATTCACATTACTTTAGTAATACAGCATTGCTACACGGTATGAAACGTGCAAGATCCGATAAGTAGATTAAGCTAAAGTGGCTCCTTCAAACCACCAACATATGGATATGCGAAGTTGTTTAAGGCCCTTCAGGGAAAGAAGATTGCCTATTTCAACATTGCTTAATGCTTTTGCTGTTGTAGACTTGGAAACGTAAAGCTCTGTCGTTGCAGATTGCTTTATACCGATATCTTGAACGAAATGAAGTTTAACTCTAAGAATTTATACAAAGTTAACATTGTACAGTCGAACTTCGATATAGCGAAATGTCGAGACGAAATGAAAAATGTCGCGGTCTTCTAGCTAAAAGTTATAAATTTACCGCTTTTCAAGGATCAAGCTCGATAAATGGAAGTAGATTAAGTAGATTAAGTAGATAAATGGAAGTATACTGTACTCTGTCTGTGCTCCCTGTTTCCGAAACATTAACCACCTGGCCCAATTGGTGTCCCGAAATTTTTCTCCAACCTACAAGAATCTAAAAGGAATGTCATTTCATTTCATCAAAGGAATGTCATTTCAATTGCAATAAAATTCAATTCTGAGGCAAATTTATCATGTATAAGTAAAAAAATAAATCACAACAAGGATAACATCAAAAATATTTACAAATAGCGACAATAATTCAATGAGATCAAAAAATAGGGTACCATTTAGTCTTCGTGTTTCGTTTTTTCTTTTATGTGCTTCTTCTTTGAATCCTGTCGACTTCCGCTTCGGCTTTTGCGATTTCGATCCTTCTTCCTGAAAAGTAACTAGTGAGTTGTTACTTCAAAGGAATATTCGATTACATGAAAAACCAACTTTTGTTTTTCTTCTTTCTTCTTCTTTTCTTTCACGCTCTTCGATGAGACATCGATAATTTCGATGCTTCGACTCCGGCTCGGTGATCTTGGCTCCCTAAAATTTAGCAATATAGATAACCTCATTTGATAACTTAAAAAATAAAATACAATTTGATATGTCTCACAATGATTTTAGAGTGCAAAAGTACCGCTCAACTTTTTAAAAATGTTCACCCTTTCTGCCGCTTCTCCTTTGAAGTGTCCCTCGTTTTTCGTTCATCTCTTCTAGCTTCCCTCCTTTCGCGATCGCGTAAACGTTGCCTAAAACAAAACACAGATTAAAAGTTTATCGAATTGTTAGAAATGTCGAATATCTCATACGCGTAGCTGACCTATTCTCTTACAACTCATAAACGTTTAAGCACTTACAGAACTTCTTGTTCCTTTTCGCGTTCCCTCTGATGATGTGCCTCTTGTGCTCGTTCGCGTCGTTTTTCTTCTCGTCGATCACTGGAAACGATTGAGTCGAGAGTTCGTGAGAGAAACTCCTTGTTCGCAATGGGTCTCCTAAAATAGGAATTGTAGATGAAAAAAGATATGTAATACTTCGATTATTTTCTAGGAACAATACATACGCTACTTTAAAGCAATGATGGCTGTTTCCGAATGAATTGTTTAAGTTTAGAACTATAATGCCAAAACAACTCACGTCTCAAGTCGTCCATTGCTTTTCTCACGCTCCGCTTCTCGCAAGATCGCAGCTAAAAAGAAAAATGGATGTCATTTCTGCAAAAGTACCAGCTTACATTCCAAATCCCACAAAAAATCCACAAACCTTTAGCTCGTTTTATTCGTTCCCCCAAAAGCGCTTCTCGGCGCTCACGAATTTCTCGATCGATCTCCGATTCTTCTTCCACATTTGTCGATTTCCCACCACTTTGCTTTCCATTCGAAGAGTCACCCTAGAGTTAAACAAGTCCTGAAAATTAAATAAATCAGCACTGCTCATCACCTAGTCCAGCGAAAATTATCGACAAATTTTGATGGCTTTATTTGGTAAAAGCGTGGGCGTCGAATTTTCATTGGACATTTTATACCAAGTTGACTTGATAATGGAACACTTTTAACCTTTGGCTTATTTGACTTCAAAAAACATATTTCAACAAAAATTACCGTTTTTCCCGGGCCCCAAAAAGTTCCCAATGACGAGGCTCGCATCTCGGGCGTGATTTCACTCTTTGCGCTGCTCGTTTCTCCAACCTAAAAAGGAACATTATTATATTTCGTTCAAAGTAATCCACAGTTGTAAAAACGCTTAGGATAGAACACATTATAGCACCAACAAATATCCAAAGACTCAGCTCTCTTTTATAAGCGTCATCTAGAAAACAAGTCTTACCTGTGTCTCTTTAATTTGCGTTTTTCGATTCCTGTTCAAAAGCGCGGCCATCTTCGACAACTTCGACGGGCCACTCTCCGAGGCATCACTTTCCGAGGGTAGCATCTAAATAAAAATAAATAGTGACTGATTAAGGTTAGCAAAAAGAAACAACAATGGAAATTGTAAAATTTGGAAAAATGTTGACACTTTTAGACTGATTACTGAACAAAACGAGTCAGCTGTATCGTTCTAAGTTGTTCAATTAGCCTACAAAGATGCTCCGCAGATGTACTCATAATATTCCACCGTCAAAAGGAAGCTTATGTACCAACTAATAGTAAAAATCTGTCAAGAATATAAATTTTCTTTGATGTAACGTGTTGTTGGATTGAAAAACCCGTAAGATTTTATATCCTATTTTTATAAAATCATTTATTCAGTAGACGCATACAATCTACGCATCAATCTATCAAATCAATAGACACCTAGAGCTCTGATCAAAAGACACACACAAAGAGAGCTCGGATGTGAAAAAGTTATTATGAAAGAAAGTGGAAGTGGAGAGATAGGTAAAAAACACAGTGAGTCTCGAAAATTCTTTAAACATAAAAAATCACATACATTTCTACTAGAGACTAGTCATCGCGATCAATCAAAAAATATGGAGAAGTTCGGTCAACGGGGAAATACAAAAGTAAAAACGGACATAGGTTTTATGAGCAAATATTTGGAGCCAACGTTATGTTATGCCTTGAGAAAATTTGGTACAGCAAAAAATTTCGTGTCTGAAGTTTTGGCAAGCTTCGTCCGTGAGGGGAAAGTTTAGAACCACAAGATCATACACACAAAGAAAAACTAAAGGAGGAAATCTCACTATACACACGTAATAATCAAGTGAATTCAGCGTGGGAGGCAAAAATAGAAAAATATAGTCGATGTTTGGCGTTACAAATTTGAAAAAGGTTTCATAACAAAACATCAACCATGAATCAGTAACATTCTCAATGAGCATGAACATCGTATCCCTCCTCCACTACTCCGCTATCCAACGAATGACCCGAGTGCCGACGACTCCCATTTTGCTGTACTTGCTGTGCTTGTACCGTTGTCGTTCTATCTCCATCATCGTCCCCTTCACCGTCCGGAAGACCAGAGTCCCGTTGAGAGTCCGTACGCAGCGATATTCTCTCCATCTCCAACTCAATTCGCACAGATTCCATTCCTAAATAAGAACATCAGAATATTTTCAAAGTCTCATATGACGATCTCTGACGTTAGCAAGACCTACCGTGACATTCGAGAATTGATTCACCGACATCAGCAACAAAACGGCAACGATCGTCGTGATTTCTTGCATTAAAATCCAAAGTTTGATGATCTGGAGTAGTCAATCGAATCCCGAAGTCATAAGTTCCACGAGAAAAGGTCTGTAAATCAGTTAAAAAAAATAATCTTTTCGTTTCATTTACCTCAACTCGAGCTCCAAAAAGTGATGAATGAGCCCGGAGGGTGTATTGTTGTGATGGTGAATGCCGACGAACTCCGGAAGCTTTTGTTATCTAAAAGAATAATCAATAATCAGAAAAAAAGAGATCAAACGGACCACAATCATATCGTTAAACAAAAACACATCTCTTTCGTGGCTTGTTGATGGTTGCTTTTTTGATATGTCAACAATCTGGAAGAAAAATAGACAACGTTTAATAAAATAACTAACCTGGTTAAGTCGACAGTAGCAAACCAATCTTCGATGGGATTCGGAAAGACGCTAAATAAGGTTATATTTTACATTGCATGATTACAAATATTGTACCGGTTTTCCTTGTCCAAGAATAGCGCTCTCCACTCTTGCCACTTGTGCTACGTGATCATCTCCTGGTTGAAAAGCCTCTTCTTTGATTCGATCATAAATCGCCCCCAACATGTCTCTAAACAAATAATTTGACTCAAAAGTTTCTTTCAAATCACACCTGTCAATATTCCCTCCTTCATCGATTCCTCTCAAGTTGTTAATAAATTGGTCCTTTTTCATCCTTTCCGACTGTTTCACGTTCCTAAAGTGTTTAAGAACTTGTTTAAACCGCTTTTTTTGCGTCAGACTTTAATACTTTAAAACTCACTTATTATGCAAGTCCGTGTTCAACATGATAATAGCGTAGGACAAAATGAACACCGTCTTGTGGCCTCCATGAAATTGCAAAGCACGAGCTGGATTCGATCGGGCGTAGTGCAAAGAAAAGTTCTAAACACGAGAATATTTGGAGATATCAATAAACAATTTACCTCCATGATGTGCTCAATCTTTTGACTTTCTCCGGGCAATCGAAAAAAGTGATTGCACTTTCGCAACGCCACGTCGACGTCCAGACCACGGATGTCCACTTCGGCGAGGAAGTACTCGAGTACGCACTTGTGGAACGTAGATCGCAAAACGCCCAAATATTCCCCAATCATTTGTTTGCTCAAACCGCGACGGCCTAAAATAGTATTTAATCAACTTGCACAAAGTCTTTATGCAAATGCTAAATTAAAACAAAATTCGATTTATGAAATCGTTGCACTCACCAAATAACAACTTTGCTACACTTTCCGCGCTTTCATCGACAAACTCCCAGGCAATCAAGAGTTGAATTCCTCGCTCTGGTTTCCTGGAAAAAAACAATGATATTAAAATAATTTTTAACAAACTTATTGAAAAAGTTAAGGGCTATTCGGTACTGTCTCTTGCGTTCAAGTTCACTCAATCTTCTCGGAGTGCAGATTGGTTCTTCGGGTCTAAATCGACTATATATTGGCTATATGATACCGAGTACTAACCGCTGCTTCCTATGTTTCTTCTCCAATCGGGGCAAACTGTTGCAATGCATGGCCGATTGATGAAAAGCTCCATTGCCTCTTTGCACCCAGACATTTTGTTGATAGGCATTCTAAATATAGATGAAAATTAAAGTTGAATAGAATCAAGTTCGAATTTCGAATTTTCCTAATAAAGTTTCTTTTATCTCTCTTATAAAGATTGTTTTCTTCATCCACGTACTCGTACTATTATTAGATCATACCAAATTTTCAACTACAAACAAAAACTTTACCTGTACATGTGGTGGAATGTAGCCATTCTGAAGTGGATGATCCTGTGAGACGGATGAAGAAGTGGAATGAATCGTCGATGGTGACATTGAAATAGTGGACGCCGAATAATGCGTCGGTTGAATGCCTGACGAACTGTGCGCTGATGGATGTAGTGGATGAGATGACATTGATTGTGGAACTCGACGAGAAGTCAATCGCGGAGACATCAATGAATCTGAATTCAATACGTAAACAAAATATTGAAAAATTGTGCAATTGTTGGAAAAGGTATGATTCTTCTTGAATTTTCCAAAAACATATAAACAGTATGTAGGTTGATTCAATCGCAAACTCAAAGAATCCAAACAAAGGGAGCATATCGAGCCAGAAAATGGACAAAAGTCATTAAAGGATAATAATCTCTCTCTTCGACCCACACCCGGCAGCTGCGTGTTGTGCGAGATTAAACATAACGTAAAGGCGCTTTTGTTCCCCAGTTTTACGGAAAGAGAGAGGTGACATCTTTTAGACTTTTCTAGACTGCGCCTTTGAAGCAAGAAGGAAGTCTGAGTCCCATAAAATCTATTTTGTAGAGTCGCGGACCACGTCATACTGTACTCCATAATAGGCCTCTCGGTGACGGAGATGGAGGACACTAGGGTTCGTGATCGATCCCTAAATAAAGAAAATTAGGCAAGTACTCTGTATAAAGGAAATAAAGAGCCAAAAAAATTGCCCACAAATCGGCACGACTCTGATAGATTTTTCAAGAGGTTCCAGTCCAAAACTTACATTAACAGCCCAAAGAATGAATAGTTCGATCGGCTCTCAGAAATTGGGCGCTCAACGATATCGTTAGTGCATATCCAAAATAAAAACAATTCAAAATAATTTTCATAAACCAGTTCTTTCCGAAACGGCTTCAACTCGGGTACTGCTCGAAAAATGGATCTTGGTGATTAAATTGTTGCGTTCTGTCTGCTAGAGCTGCATCTGTGAAAAAGTCGAGGAGAGACAAGCGATCTGAACGAGAAAACTAGGCCGGTTCTCATCATAACTAGCCAGTCGGAAAGCTGCCTCTCTTTTACTCTATTCGTTGGGGATCGTCATTGTGCTCGGGCTTTGCGCTCACGCAAAAAAACGGAAATTAGAATTTCGGAAATGAATACTGGTTTGCAGGACGATAGGTCCCGAAAAGATCGGAATCAAAAATTGGACTTTACACCACGGCTAAGAACAAAGAGCGACCTACCTTGTACGATCAGGAGTGGTGAAACCATTGGATACTGAGGCACAACTCCCTGCCAAAAGAATGTTCTCAGAGTCATCTAAGGCAACCCTTAGGAATTAATAACTTAGTATGTATATCTAAAGTCTTAGTAACTTTTTGAGGGATAAATTTGTAAGTAAATAGATAAAAATAGATTGTTTAATCCCAACCTGGCCAAACCTCGGGCTCAATACTTGAAGTATACTCATGACGCGTTGAATTATCGTAGCGGGGCGTTGAGCCCGATCCCCGACCAAATCGTACCGCGCTTTCAAGTACCTGGAAAAGAAAATGGGTTATCGAATGAATGGATTGATTAGATAAGATGAATTTTATTAGGCTCAACATTTGACTTGAATTTTTACCTAGTTTTCAGGAGATAAAGTCTCAACATTCGCAGCACTCGACGTTCGTTGGCAAAAACAAGACTCTCTCTTTCCTCCCATAAGCGGACTCTATACCTGTTGGAACAGATTGAAGGGACAAGCAGCGAGTCTAGTCAGTACAGTTTACTTTGTGAGGCAGTAAGAGGGGTTTAGTAAAAAAAAAATCAAAGTGGAAATATTAAGCAGCACTTAAACACAACTATCAAAAAACAATGAACCATTTTCCAGAAACTAATGTATCTTGGCGAGAGGGAGTCACAATGTTTATAGTGAAAGGTTAGTAATCTTTTGTTGATATCCCACATATGGAAAAGCTCCAGTTTTTTGTTTGGAACATAAAGCTCTCTTACCGCCATAAGCTCATTACAGGTTGTCTATAGGTGTGGAAGGGTCGTCAAAGATTTCATAACTCAGCGGACTCACGTAAAAACGTATCAATGATGGCATGCTCCTCGCTAATTTCCAGCGTGAAACATACTAAAATGAGGAAACGCTACTGCCGGAAAAGCAAAAAAGTAGAGACAAAAACAGCGAAAAAATCTTCTTAAATAAAAATGAGATAAAATGAAATTTACATTCTTTCTTCGAAGAGACCCCGCCGAATGATTTAATTGTCCGCGGGAGCAAAGAAATTTTTTCACTTGAGCACGTAACAAGAGACGACCCCAGCTCACTACTGTTCTCCATGTCAAAGAAAAACAAAACGACCGTGTAAAAAATGGGAGATAAGGGAAGTGAGAGAAGAGGAAAGATGTATCTATCTCAAAAGAATAGAGGAATTGGAGCTTTTGCAGGAGTATTAGTTTTGTTTAGAACTAAAAAGGTATAATTTGGCCCAGGTATCTTTTGCGCATTTTTGCAAAACATTTTCTTTACTGTGAAAAGCAAAACACCAGAAACGTTAGTTACGAGCATCCTAATCGAGTTCACGAAGAACACAAAAAAGAAGACACAAAAAACAGGGGCCTTTAACAAAATTTGGATGAGCCTTGTTCGTGTAATGTGGTCATCTGAGAAAAGAAAAAAAGGGGTTGAGAAGATTTGAATCTGAATGAGAGGAGGCTTTACATATGGAGGAAGGAAGCGCATTGCGGCAGAGATACGATAAAATCGTGTGGGTGACTAAAGATCTTCATTGCGTATTATCAATTGGTGAAAACAACGATCGTGTATGAAGTGAGAACGTTGAAGTATTGCATGTATATGTTACGTCCAGATTAAAGAGACATTTCACTTAATGGGACGTAATCTACAAAAGAGCTTGCTGTGGTAAAAACGATACCACAGAAATAGTTTTCCTCGAACATAACATCATACTAGAAATCCAACGAATGAGAAGGAGAACTTGTTGCCAAAATCTTTGAAAAATCAGACAGCTTATCGTGCTAGTACTCACTGTTTATGTAATGCACACACTCAAGGATTCGGAATGAGAAATGCTAGCAAAAGCGCCACGTATCATTTGGACCGCGAATTTGTGTTAGTGAAAAATCATTATAACAAATTGCGGAGAACGCAGCTTCTAACCAACTTTTTTTTACAGTTCTCTTGCTTCATAATTTTAGTTCTAGCTATTTTTCAATTCAAAAACATGCCCTGCATTCTCATAAAGACCATAAAACAGTCATTTGTGTCCCCCCAATTGGGCTTTGTGCCCACTATTCATCGATTTTATGTCATTTTTAAATCCGGTGAGGGCATAAGGAAATAGCGAGCATCTTCGACGAGAAAAAAAAATAAAATGATCATTCAGAGTGTGTTGAAAGCGCAAATTTGGCACAAATGATACACCCAGCACTGAAGCGGGCCTGGAAATAATTTGGCACTTTTACATTTAGCACCTCCGAAATGATTCCAAACTGAATCGTTAATCAAGTGCAACGCGCTTTCCCGGGTCTGGTGAGGAAAATTTGCATATCAGGGCGTCGAGTCGAGAAAAATAAGCATGTATCTGTGAGGGAGGGGAAAATGTCTCACAACGACGAGGAAAACAAATTTGTGGAAATAAACAAAGAGCATACTTTGGACTGAACATGAACGATGACGAATTTAGGTATTTACTCCCTAATAGAAGATGAAATTCGAGGAATTCCCTTGCTCTAATAAATCTTCTTCGAAAAGATAATGAAGTCAGCAAATTAACCACGAGACACGATAGGATCATTGAGTCATTTTTGATATATCACTTATTAAAATGATTTGAGGAAATAAATTGAATAGTAAATGGGACCAACCCTACGAAAAGACCAAGTTAAAGGTAAAGCTAACGCAAATTCGGTCGACGCGGACCACCATCAGCCGCGAGAGCGGACATCAGCAATGAAGTGCATGGCTGGGACGAGGGTACCGACCCAGGGAGGCTAGCTAAGGGTCCGTGAAGAGGAGTGAGCAAAAAGGAGGGGAGAGCGAGTGAAAGAGAGAAAGGCCCTGTGGCCCCACTGGTCAATGGGGAACACCCCACTCGTCGGGTGGGAAGAGAAAAACAAAGCGGGCCCGGCCACAGCACCCATCCCGCGTTGGCACGCAAATTTGAATCGAGGCCGCCTTTTTTTACTCCCAAAGCATATAGGTGGATATCGGAAAGGATTGAGGGCGACAAATCGTAAGCATCAGTTTCCAATTATCTCTGAAAGATAACATCTTCGAAAGTTGGGGACAAATTGATGAAGCAAATGGATTAAAGAAATCCCCACGTCCCGACGAGAGTCCAATGGGAAATAGAGAAAATGTGACTCATTACGGGGGGCAAAGGGAAAGGATCCCAAAAAGAAAGAAAAATCAAATCGTTCGATCAATCGACGCTGACGTTTGCTGATCTGAGGCGGAATTTTTGCTGGAAAAATCTCACCAATCCCCTAAAAATTCTCTAATGAAATTAGAGTACCAAATTTAAACTCAGTTCTTATCTTTTCACCTGCATAAGAAAATCAAATGAAAATGGCACGAGAATTGAAATTACAATTTCTGAAAGGAGTGAAATCTCATAAATTGCAGTTTCGATTCAAGCCGCATACGAAACTACACCAAATAAAAGAAATTTTATAGCACAATTGAAAATAATGAAAAGCACACAACATGCACACTTAACGATTGATGTGAGGTGAGAGAGAGAAATAGATTGGGCAGGGGTACAGCGGCCGCACTCCCTGTAATGGGCATCTCCTGCAGGTGTGTGAGAAATGAGAGTGAGAGATCAACAACACACAAAAAAATGCTATCAGATGCTCCTCGCCGTCTGTCTCCCGGCTGTGGCTGAGACAGCGGTTATCAAACGATTTCCAATGTTTTACTTTGAGCTCGACAAATTTCTCTTACCTGAAGCAACTGATACAGTTTCTTTTTCGCTGAAGCTCTTTGACAAAAAGCTTAGCTTGGCAACTATTACTGGCCTCGAAACTGAATCAACCCTAATTTCTGAACTCCCTACCGTAACTTGCTTGGTGCCTTAAAT